ATTACAACGGCCTCCCCCTATAAGCCTGAAGGATGGAAGCCTTCGATGAAGCTGTTAGTGGGGGAAAACAGAAGGTGAGGATGGGTGCGAATAGTTGCATGGGCTTGATGGGGTGTGTAGCAGAGTTGGCTGGGTTCAGGCTTTGGTTAGTTATTAGTTATGATGATCGTGTGGACCAGAGTCCATCATCGGTGGGACGTCGGGGTGGGCTGGTCGAACTAGAAAAAAAACTGGCTAGTCCAGAATAAAGACCGACAGGACCATTCATTTGCTGCAGACCCGACGGTGAGCTTGGGAGTTGTCAGAAGGTTGCGTGTTCGCGTCATGTCGGGGTCACCAATCGTTGGTTGGAGCCTGGGATACCAATCGGTAAGCGATGACACGTAAGAGACGTGTCAAATACGGAACAATATAGAAGCTGGAAGCGACAGAACCCAACGTATATTGTGCAAGGTACAAAAATAGGAAGCGAATCAGTCAGAGCGAGAAACAGTGTAGCAAGGTACTCACCAAAACGCTTGGTGTCAATGGATGTACAGTCAGTAAAACAAGTGGACGTTTTGAAGGTTAAAACAACCGTGAAATCCAATGTTGCAAAATACTGAAAGAGCGTGTGTTCCGGTACATTACACGGTCAGTAATGGAGCAACGAACTAGGAAAGACCGCAGATGGTGATGATATGGTGTAAAGATACGACAATAAAAAGATGGAATGGAGCAACTGGATGCATACACTACCACAGGGGTAGCAAGTGGACAGAGATACTGAAGCACCGTGTATGACTTTGCTTCACTTTTCGTTGCGTGGCAATTGGCGCTGGTTTGAGGTCAGATGTTTGAGTCCTGCGCTTAAGAATGGTCAGACATGTCGAGTCCAGAAGAGTCGCACTTTCTTAGGTTAGATAAGCGACGGGTGGGCCATAGATCCAGACAATGATGCAGCAAAGGATTGAGGCAAAGTAAGATGACTTGGAAAATGCTGTCCAATGACGACAGCGACTGTTGCAAGGGCGGACCAACTTGACAACTATCGCTTTGTACAACGACTAGAAGCAGTATGAAGATTTTCGGGTGACTATCAAATAGAGCTTTAAAACAAGACTACGAAGTCTTGTGTGATGAGCGGAAAAGTAAATGCTCCGATAAGATTCAAGCACGATTGACTTCGAAATCGCAAAAGCACAGTTTGCTGGTGATCCGCGAATGACTGATCCACCTGATGAACAGTGGTAGGAGGAGCTTGCGGAACCAAATCGAATGATAGTACGTAGGTCCCTATGAGAATAAATCCGAAGATTTAAGGGCGAATAACACAGGAGGACACTTTTTGCAACCGCTTGTGAGCCGAGCTAGAGCCGACGTTGATACCAAGGCGACAGAAAGCGCCACCCATAATGATAAATAGGACCTGAGAAATGTATAGAATTTTCCAGAAATTGCACATTTTTGGCCAAGCATGACACTGTTTTTCGTGAACATTTGGGAAGGAAAACCACCACTTCTTGCTTGTATTCAGAATTTCAAATTGTTTTTTGAGCACTTTGGCAAAACAGTAGAGAAACTTGCTAATAGTTCAAGTCAAGGAAAGCAAGTATGTTTACATGATTTTCGACAGTACTTCCAATTTATGGCACAAAATTCGGATGACTGACGTGTTGCGCTAGGTAACAGTGGATGAGAATGAAGAGAAGGTTGTGGAGTCGTTTCTCCGCTTCAATATACTCAACAGCAAAAGTGCAGGTGAAATGTCTGGACTATTTTTGATAGAAGTAGAGAAGGTTGGAAATCAGTTTGGTGACTGTCGCTGTCAGGCATCTGACAGGTTTGCTGTTATGTAGGGGCACCGTTCAGTTGTCTGGACATGCATCTGTGAAAACAATCCAAAAAATACATTTGTATCATGCGCAAACCATTTCCTGATTCTGGCTTGTATACATGTTGTTTCTGCAATGGTTCACTCTCTCCTAATTCTGATACAATGGTTTGGTTATCATTATGCTTTTCTCCAACTACGTATCGTTGGAATACCTTGATACAAGCGACTGGTCTTAGTGTCAAACGGGCTGTGGAAACCAAATGGCTAGTCCAACCGACGCGATAAACGTTGTAGTGAAGAAATACCCGGAAATCGTCACCGCTATGGAAGCGTTCATAAAAGGAGGGGAAAGTGCGACCACCAGATCTGATGCACTTTAATTTCGCATTTCGATAGTATCGTTCTCTTTAATTTCGTTTCTGCTCCTTTGGAGATCTGTTCCCCGAGGAAGCAATGATGCACTGTATCAAAGTTCCGTCAAGCTCACAATGTTAGGGGTTTGCTCCATCAGTGTACAGTGGAAGGTGTGACGAATACATTTCAAAACTCTGCACAGGATTGGGTATTAGCTTGGACAGTAGAATACGCCAAAACAAACGAATGTATGGTAAAGAATTGTTTGATACACATATGGGATTTGATGCTGATTCGCAACGGAAAATCCTGTATGCCAAAGACAAGTTGACTGATGAAATATGTCATAACTTTGTCGAATTCATGACATTGCAGACAAATTTGCGTTCCTTACACTGTCAAATCGGCTTCATGATAACGATGATTGTTTGCTTAGCGAAGTTATACCATATACAGAAAACCAGGAATACTTTGTTAAAACCATGGACTCGGATGTGTTATGTTGTGTTTTCGTTTACGATTCCTGTACCTTCTTTTTAGTCCCATGGTTTCTGATGGCTCTATGTCTATGTCTATTCGTAGACGGTTGCAATATATATATATATATATATATATATATATATATATTGACATGGGAAGCTGACATTTTGTGACAGCTCCAGGAAAGGAGAAAATTAGTGATTCATTTTACTGTTAAGCCTTATACAGAAATATCAATTTGGGAAATCTGCACCGAATATGGCGATCTCGCCGCATACTTTTCTTACCCGGGTTAGCAGCATTACAAGCTGTGAGCGCTCTTTCGCAAAACTCATCTACATAATGATTTACGATCAGCGAAGTACCAGACAATGCTCACAGACCATCGCAGTTTTCTCCATAGAGAAAGAAGTTGCCGGTGAACAGAATTTTGATAGTGTCACCGATACTTTTGCCGCAAGTAAAGCAATAAAAGTGAGCTTGTAAAATTTGTACACGAATGCCGTAACCATAAAAATCCCTGCATTTGCAGTAGCACTACAAAATTAGCTCTTCGGTTATTGTCGTCGTCACTGTAATAGTAATGGTGGTTGTCCTTGTTCTTGTTGTTCATGTTCTCGTTCTTCTTGTTGTTCTCCTTGTTGTTGTTGCTGCTGTTGTTGTGGTTGCTACCGCTGTTTTTGTTGTTGTATTTGTAGGAAACGAAATATTGAAGGATTGTGTGCGTTTGGGATGTTTTACGAGTTACAAATGCCGGGGCGTCTAATACCTCGCGACCGCCCAGGGCGAAAACAGTAGCCGCTATGTCACCGTTGCACGTTAATGCGTGGTAACCAACGAACTGAGCTCTTCGCGGATCATCAGTACACACCCTGAATGGTGTATACTGGCCCAGTAGTGTTTCCCATAAATTGGATTCACCATGACTCCTGTGCGTATCTTTCGCCTATACTGTACCAGATTAGGTGCTTCCCAGTGGTGGCCAGTTTACGTTGTAACGAGACGCATGGAAAGACCCAACTGTGAAAAATTCCCACACCGTCAGGGTAGCAGATACCATCTAAATCGTGAATATACGAGTAAGATAGCTCCGTTTAACCCAGTACTGGCACTCCTGCGCTTTACTCCACGCGCTTTTGCGGTCCGATCCCCATACCTGCTTTAGCTTCGTTATCCCGTCATAGTTTGTTTCATCGATGTTAAATGCCTTCATCAAGGTCAACAACGTCGCTCAATACCAAGCGTCATTTTTTTGGTTCTCATATATCTGTAAGCTTGACTTCAAGTTCCATCGAACGAAATATCTCAATTTCATGCCTGCCAAATGTAACACAGGCTCAGGAAAGAAAAATGTAGTGTAAGTGTAGTTCAGAGCTAAGCTTGACATTAATACAGGATTGTGAAATTATCATACCCGGCACAATACGGTCAGCGGAAATCAAGTCAGATTCTTACGTGCCAAATGGGTACTACTGCTTAGGCGGCCAGTAGCATGGCAGGAACGGCAAAGGGTACAGGAATGGATCAGTAATGGACCAACCCAAGTGTCTAAAGCAAGAAAGAAAGGCGGAATCGGTGGTCTACCGTGAGCAAATGCGCACTCTCGACCTTCTGCAGTGAGTGTGACATGTGGTCAAACCTCGTGCATGTAATGGATGCTTCTATTTAACATAAGCGCCACTTCGTGTGTCGAACTGTTGCAGTCGATGAAGTGAACTACCATGGAGAGATATGAGGACCCCAAACCTGAACCGTTAGAGGAGATGGATGGGAGCTGGGTGAACGTGACGGAGGTGGTCGGTATGAGAACCGACTGAACGAAGCTGGCTGTCACACAGTGCTTCCTTAAGTGAAAGTCGAAGGTGGTGAGAACGGACGCTGTCAAGATGAAGTAGACTGCAGGAAGAAATCTTCGCTCTTCGAATTTAACGGCTTGGCTATCCATCAGGAGGCAGGGTTGTGGTAAATGGAGGTCCGGCTTGTTTCGCGAATTAGTCAAGTCCTCATTCTGTGTTCCTTCCTGGCACACCTTAGTCTGCGGCTTCCAGAGGTCCGCCTAGTGTCAGGCCGTTGAGACTGAGACTGAGACTGTATTTAAGAGCAAGTAGAAAGATTTCTGTACAACTCTACCGAATTGAGTTGATCCATATCTGACATATGCCAGTACGAGTTCACGTAGTCGCTCCATACTTCTGTCCCCTGGAGTAGTTGTACGTACGCTTATGCACCACGTGAATATTCGAATGAAATCCGTACACAAGAAGAGCAAAGGACATTTCTAGCGAACTAAGAGACAAGACACTGACATTTTTAGGGAGACCGTGAGAATAAGCTCGCGTTGTGTACTTACGGTCTATCCAATATTCTTCGGGCCCCTCAGGTTCTAACATGACGTTTTCGTTCACTGGGGTGTATGCTAAAACAATAGAGGAGTGAGGAGAAGAGTAAGACTATGTAAATGAAATGGCAGGCAGTTTGAACCTGCATTAGCTAAATCAAAATCGAGTCTAACATTAACACCCGTAAGTAATGGTTAGCCTATTTGATTAGCTAACGCTTACTCTTGCCGCTGGTGGAGCAGTTATAGCCATTGGCCTTTTGAGGCAGATCTAACGGGGTTCGTTGAACTATCATTTATTCGAACTGGACATTCTGCCTCGGTTGGCGGCCAAAGTCCAAATATTGGCATACTTCGCTAACTCGAGATAATGAAAAGTACAGTAGAAATGAGTGGTTTTTATTCTTAATGCCAATAGGTCAACATTCTTTGACGATAATTAGCCACCATGGGACCGTACTACACGTATATAAGGAAGTACAAGGAGGTGGGAGAAAGGTGGCGCAGTGCAGTGCTCAAATACACTAAGCCGATATGTGGTGTAATAGTCAGCCAACCAGGTTGGAAACATGTATCGATATCGATAACACAGTTTGCTGGACACATACAATGACAACGGTAGTGAGCACAACTCATCCATTTGTTACATCGGCGCTCTACGCACACTAACCAGGATGTTTGATTTCCGCGGCACTGTGCCAAACATAAAATCGCAGAACTCATCATCTGGGTAGTCTACTGCTAGTTGTCTACATAAGAGTTAAACGATAACGTATGTTAGCTGTGTCCTGCAAAGGCTTCCGTTGAGGATGTCAATGAGGCTAACCCAAGCACAATTGTATTCCAGGAAAATAAACGGCTAAGCAGAATAACAACCAATCACAGTCAACTATCGGAATTAGCATGGAACTGTTATTAGTATGAGGAACCCCTTCTGCTTTGGCTGCAGCGGAGGTAAAGTCTGTGCCAAAAGCATTCCAAAGATAAAAGAACTGAAACGGAACCGATTTTGAAAGTTATTAGCCTAAAAGTCTACTTAAACAACCGATTTCTCTGTCGTGTGAAAGGCTTTCTCTTTAATCACAGTTATACATAACCTTGATTTCTACGGTTTTATGCCCTTTTGGCTAATCATAAAGTGATATATATATATATATATATATATATATATATATATATATGTTTGGCGGCATCCGGTTTCGGATTTGCCTGTCAATGTGGCCAGCCACAGGACGTCTGCGCCTACAGAGGGACCATGGGTGGCTTGCGCTGCACCAACCACTGCTCCAACCACACACCCCATATCCAGTGTAAACCCGAAGGAATAAGACCAGGAGGCATGTGGATGGGAGACACGTTTCATCAACGGAGCCGGCCCACACTCCTTCACAGGCAAACACAAGCACACTGTATTTGGGAATCAAGCGCACCCAAGGCAGTTGCTGGACCGTAGTCCGCTCCACACTGAGTGCATGGAACCACTCTTTGAGCCTAGCACGACCACAAGGACCGCACACCCCGTCCCCTCCAGCAACGACCAACTGTATCCTGGAGCCAGACTGGACGAGGTAGTGGGTAATAGACAGGTAGGCACCTTGTCAACATACATCAAGCGCAGCCACACCGGGGATATCACGCAACAGCCAATCACTTGAAACGACAATGTCAAATAAAATAAATCAAATTATGCAAAAAAGACATGCCGATATAGCTTTATATTAAACGAGCATGTGAAATCAATTCGTTGCCAAACTATCCGCCATAGATTCCAGACATCAGAAAATATACTTTCAGGAAAAGCCACAAACGAGAAAATATTATCAAAATTAATAACAATTAAGTTGAGCGAAGGGTGCAAGTTAAAAGATAATTCACATCGGCAATAATGAGAAAATATAGCAAATCCACCACCTGAAATAAAGAGACTTTGCATGCAAGCACGCGGTTAGTAAATCGAACGCAGCGTACCTACACACGCTGCGCCGGTTATGCCTATGTTCTCTGCAGAACCCGTCGTCGCTTCGGTAGTGGTTCCGAGTGACATCGCTCACGATTCATTAGCCCAGCCTCACTCAGACATTCGCGACCGCATGTGCTACAGCACCATGCGTTCGATGTCGAGGGAGTACAATTCATCGGTGCTTGCCGCTTCCGAACTTGCCGCTTCTTCTCCGCATGCGTGTGGTCTTTCTCCCGCACTTCGGCAACTGCCTTCGTGATCAGATCGCGCCATGCACGCCGATCCACTGCCTTCGATTCCCATGACCTTTAATCAAGGTTAGAACGTGAGAAGCTCACTCTGATCATGTCTTGATAACGTAAATTTGGTTTCCCCACATCTCGCCTCCCAATACTTAGCTGACCATAGAATAGTTGTTTCGGTATCCGGGTCGAATCCATACGGCTCACATGACCGAGCCATCTCAGGTGTCACAAAAATAGTATGAAGTCCACTGCATAGAATCCACTTCGGCCCAACACTTCCGTGTCCGTCACTCTGTCATCCCATTCGATGCGCAAAATCTGTCACAAACACTGTTGATGGAATCACTCGAGATATCACACATCCCGCCAGTACATCATCCACATTACGCTACCGTATAGAAGAACGAACGGCAACATCGATTTGTACACCATTAGCTTCGGGCCAATAGTAAGCTGATGGTTGTGCCACACTCGGTACTCCAGCTTCCCGAATGCCGTCGCTGCCTTCGACACGCGGAGACGCAGCTCACTGTGTAGCTGATGGTCAGTCGACATCACACTCCCAAGATAGCAGAAGCAGGAGCTGGTTCCCAATAATTCAGCACCAATGCTGATTCGCAGCAATATTGAAGATTGCACTTCCGGTGAAGGCTGAAAGCGACAGACTGTTTTGCTTGTGTTGATGGTGAGCCCGAATTTTGCCACTGTCGAAACCAGAGCACTAGTCATGTGCTGCAACTCATCCGCACTGTGTGAAAACAACGCACAGTCGTCAGCAAACAGCAACATACGGGATAGTTGTCACACAGTCTAGAGTTCTCACACCGAAACGACGGATGTTCAGCAACGCACCATCAATCTGGTGCTGCGCACAAACACCGTAAGCAAGGCCGCATCAAAAGCACAAAAGAACCACTCCTACCAGCCTACACTGAATTTACAACATTGCCGAACTAGACCGCTTCCCGACAAAGATTTTACCTTAAATATACCAAAGGTTAGAACGAACATCCGCTCTAATTTCTTCCTGGACGGATACAGCTATCTGTGAAATAAATTACCAATAACACTCAGGTCATGTAACGATGTGGTAACATTTAGTAGCAGACCCGCCAATTATATTGATCTAACTAATTTAAGCCCTATATTCACATGGGAAAAATCCCTCGATGAGCTATTCCAAGAGGGGCCCAAAAACATATAAACATCAATCCTTTCATAACGAGGTTTCGGCCTCAACCATACGTCAGAATGTTAATACATGAAACGAATATCCCAATGCTTCACCTATGCCTGTCACCCTATCAAGAGCATAGATTCTTCTGTACGAATGGATCTGTGCCGCTATGGATTCAGTTTCTCTCATCAAGAGAAACATGCCTATTATGATTATTATGGCATAAAGATTAATAATAAACACGGCAGGAGCAAAGACAGCCTTGCTTCAAACCAGAGACAACTGAAAAACCATCCGTCTCTCCACTCAGCTGCACCCTCGCTCGCATACCACCGTGCAGACATCCAATTAAACTTACAAACTTACGCGAGCAACCAAACTTACCCAACACCAGCCATAATGTCTCCCGGTTCACCGTATCAAATGCCATGGTGAAATCAACTAAAAGCGAGTACAATGGCTGGTGTCGTTCTCTGCACTTCTCTTGCAACTGACGAGCCGCAAACACCAAAGCTATAGTGCTGCGACCCGAACGGAATCCACACTGCTCTTCCGCCACGTTAGATTCCACAATCTGACTCACGAAGCGATTGAGCAGGATTCGGGCAATCACCTTGCCTACACAACTCAGCAAGTTGATGCCACGATAATTCGTGCAACATTGCTTGCTCCCTTTGCCCTTGTGCAGTGGTAGCACAAGGGCATCCTTCAGCTCCGCAGGCACTTCCTCCTCAATCCACACGCGTTGCACCAAGTGGTGCAGCGCAGTCAACAACGCGGGTCCACCGTGTTTCAATACTTCAGGTGGGATCCCGTCACCTCCGGCACATTTGCCGTTACGCAGCTGAGCAAGTGCTCTCCGCGTCTCATCCAGTGTCGGCGTGTCCGCCAGACTCGCCTTTACATCGTCCTGCTTGAGACCGTTCACTGTAGGCCAGTCGATCTCTGAACGGTTGTTCAAGAGACAGTCAAAGTGTTTCCGCCAGACCTGCATTATGTCTGCAGTCTGGGTGCATGTAGCGCCTGAACTACCATCGATCAGTGTCCTCAGCGGCTCCAATCTCGGTCCATACAACGCCTTCAAGGAGTCAAAGAATTCCTTGTGTTGGCGGCGTTCGGCATAGCATTCCATCTGCTTCGCCTTCTCCGTCCACCATGCATTTTTAATGCAACGGTGCTCTCGGATCAGTCGCCATCGATGTTTGCGAAACTGACTACTCTTTCGCAAGTCACTGGGGTCTTCCACATGTGCAGCAAATGCTGCATTCTTCTCTGAAACCAACGCACCAATCACCACATGGTTGTCATCAAACCAATCAGGCCGTTTACAGTTTGCGCGCCCGAGGGTCTCCTCGGCAGCAGCTCTCACCTGGTCGCGAATGTGGTGCCACAGGTCACTCACTGTGGCTATGCAGTCCACATCACAGAGACGTGCAGCCATCGCCTTCTCCAGCTCAATCCGTTTCGCCTCAGTACCAAGGGAGGGAATATTAAATTTACGCCCAATCACGGCGGGAGTGCAATGCATCGATTTACGAAAATATATGTACATATATGTACAGTTTGGTCAGTGCCAAACTCAGCTCCACGCAGTACACGTGTCATGCGCACTTCACGCATATCACGCTGACGTACGATGACATAGTCGAGCAGGTGAGCGTGACCACTCCGTGGGTGCGTCCAAGTTGCTATGTTA